TAGAGACAGGGTTTCACCATGTTGGCCAGGCTGGTGTATGTTCTTATTTAACTCTCTCTGTGCACCATGAACCTCTGTCTGTGTTGTTTTCTGCTGTGTTCCTGGGTCCTGGCAATAGTAAGGACTTCATAGCTGTTTGTTTTGCCTTATTTTGAAACAGGGTCTTGTTCTGTTGCCCAATCTGGAATCCAGTGGTGTGATCATAGCTCATTGCAGCCTCCACCTCTTGGGTTCAAGTGATCTTCGCACCTCAGCCTCCTGAGTAGTTGGGACCACAGGAACGCACCACTACACCTGGCTAATTTCTTTTGTAGAAACAGGGTCCCCTGTGTTGCCCAGGCTGGTCTTGAACTCCTGGACTTAAGCAATCCTCCCTTCTTGGCCTCCCAAAATGTTGGGATTACAGGTATAAGCCACTGCACCCAGCCCATAGCTGTTTTTGATTGAGCAAACTGATCAGTCTTATATATTTATTCCAGATATGTAACTGGTTCATCAATGCCCGGCGGCGGCTTCTCCCAGACATGCTTCGGAAGGACGGGAAAGACCCTAATCAGTTTACCATTTCCCGCCGCGGGGGTAAGGCCTCAGATGTGGCCCTTCCCCGTGGCGGCAGCCCCTCAGTGCTGGCTGTGTCTGTCCCAGCCCCCACCAATGTGCTCTCCCTGTCTGTGTGCTCCATGCCGCTCCACTCAGGCCAGGGGGAAAAGCCAGCAGCCCCATTCCCACAAGGGGAGCTGGAATCCCCCAAGCCCCTGGTGACCCCTGGTAGCACACTCACCCTGCTGACCAGGGCTGAGGCCGGAAGCCCCACAGGTGGACTCTTCAACACGCCACCACCCACACCCCCAGAGCAGGACAAAGAGGACTTCAGCAGCTTCCAGCTGCTGGTGGAGGTGGCGCTACAGAGGGCTGCTGAGATGGAGCTTCAGAAGCAGCAGGACCCATCACTTCCATTACTGCACACTCCCATCCCTTTAGTCTCTGAAAATCCCCAGTAGCTGTCTGCCAAGAGGGGCGCTCAAGGCTCAAGCCAGCTGTCCTGGGTTTCCGTTTTGGTTCCCTTTCATGCAGAGGGTTTTCTATGGATCACTGCCAAACATTGGGATCATCTCCTCTGTGCAGAGGTCTTCAGCAGGAAGATGCCAGTTGGCACCACTGCACTGTGATGGGGGACCTCTCCTCTGCTGACTGCCGTTTCTCCAGGCCTTCCCTCAGTGATGAGACCAAGAGATCGGAGACAACCACGGTGCTGCTGCTGCTGCTGCTGCTGCTCCAGAGAATCCCTGGGACACCTTTGTTCCAGCCTGGTTTCCTGGGCTGGGCTCAGGAAAGCTGCCAAGTTCAGTCCTATGTTGGGTCCAAGCTACCCCTGTGCTGTTTCTGTCAAGCCAGGTGTGGACATTCCAAGTTCATATGCATGAACAAAAGAAGAGGAACCCAGTGGATGTACCGGAACCGACTCCAGTTGAATGTTAGATTTTTGCTAAACTGTTTTGTTTTTCCCTTTTTTGCTGTGGTTTACGTTCACGGCAGTAGTTAGCCCAGGTGTGGGGAAAAAGAGTGCACTGCATGATAAGAGTTCTGGTGAACTGGGAAGGACCCACCACTGTAACTGGGGATTGTTTTGCAAGAAAGTAGTATTTTTATTTGGGGGACCAGCTAAGTCTCTGCAGTAGTGTGAAATTTCAAATGGTTGTTTTGGTTTACCAAAAAAAGGCAGAAAAAACAACTGTATGAGTGCATTGGCCTTTCTGCCACAGGCACAGAAGGGTAGAAAGCCACAGCAGGGGGCAGTCCAGCAGAATGTGACTGACTAAACCTAAGCACCGAGCAGAGAAGGATAAAATCAAAAGGTGTTTGCTTTTTTTTTTAATTTGTATTGTAGTTTTTTTGGGGGGTGGGGGAAGTAAACTAGACTGAAGCGATGGATTTTTTTTTCTTTTTTCTTTAATATTTTTCCCTTTGTTCTTGAACACTTTTGCCCTGTACCCTGAGTTTTGAATTCCTTTAGGAACTTGAATTAGAGGGGCTCGAATGTTGGAAGCTCCCAGCACCTCCTACTTGGAGAGAAGTGAGCCATCTGCTGGTCAGGAAGTCCTCCAAACGGGCAGCTCTTCCCACAATGGTGGCAACTTGGGGAAATCAGGAATAGTGTTCTGCCAAGGAGCTGCCTTGAGAGGAGGCTGGGGCTGGAAAAGGGTTAGAAGCCTGCTAGCTGGGAGTGTCTTTGTTTCATCTTTCTCTTAAACTAGAGTTGCAGGGGCCCCTGACCTGAACTTCCCAGTGAAACAGATCACAATTGGTTGTCTGCTTCTCCCTCTCCCCCATTTTTGTTTTGCTCTTTTTTTTTTAGACGGAGCCTCACTGTCACCCAGGCTGGAGTACGGTGGTGTGATCTTGGCCCACTGTAACCTCTGCCTCCCGGTTCAAGCAATTCTCTGCCTCAGCCGCCCAAGTAGCTGGGATTACAGGTGCCTGTCACCACGCCCAGCTAATTTTGTATTTTTAGTAGAGATGAGGTTTCACCATCTTGGTCAGGCTGGTCTTGAACTCCTGATCTTGTGATCCACTTGCCTTAGCCTCCCAGAGAGCTGGGATTACAGGTGTGGGCCACCACATCCAGTCTGTTTTGCTGTTTCATTGCTGATAGTGTTGAACAGCAATATGCCCCATCTTTATATATGCTAAGAAACACTAATTCTAGGTTATTATTAGCTGAAATATGTTTGTCCTGAATAACGTCGTTACTGGGCCAAAAGATAGATCAGGACTCCCAGCCTTTAGTTTCCTGAAGTCACCAGCTCAGGCACAAGGAGAAGGGGTTCCTGGATATTGACTAACGTGGGTGGGCCTAGCCAGGAGAAAGATAGTAACATGTTCTTTACTTTTTGGGACGATCCCTGAAGCCATCACAGAGGCTCACCAACTTCTGAGTCACCCATCTCTTGCTGAGGGAGTGGGAATGGATTGCTTAAGGAGAGGGAGTTTTGCTCTTTCCAGGTGGGCAAGTTTCCTGGGCTCTCTGTGTTGCCTCCTTTTGGCTTCTTTCTCCCTTGTCCTCTCCCCGTGTGCCCTAGGGGGATCAGGGATCCTCACCCTCCTGAGGCCCAGTGGTAAAGAATGAACATGGCTGCCTCCAGGTTAACTGAAGCTACCATTTGCCCAGCCTCTTCCCTTCCAGCCCTGTCAGTGAGCCCAGGTCTGATGCAACTGTTGCAGGATTTCTGTAGTAGAGAACTTTGGAAGTACATTGGGCTGAAGTGGGATTTTCCCTCCCCACAGTGCACTGAGCAATGGAGGGTGGTGAGGGGTGAGGGAGCCATGCTGCTGAATTCTGGTTGGCATTCCCCCCTTGTGTAAAATGGGGTGTTGGGGTAGGGCAGACTCTGCTTGGGTTTGGTTGTAAGATAAAGCTGGAGGAGAAGCACAGTTGTCCCATTGGATTATTTGAGCAAAAACTACTGTAAATAACTTTTTTGTCTTTTGTCAAATAAAATTGTTTTTGTTTTTGTTTTTTTAAGCAGAAACAGGGTTCTTGATGTTTGATCCATCAGGGCTTGGGGCCAGGCTTGAAGACAAAGCAGTCACTAGTTTCTTTGCCTTACATTTTTCACTCTCCCTCTAGTGGCCAGCTGTGAGTTCTGTGCACGCTGCACGCGTCCCTTTCACCAGCTCCATTCTGTATCCCATTCAACTCAGGGTGAAGGGGGCCTTTGCATCCCACACTAGGCCAGTCTTCCCTGGGATCAACAGTTAAGCTTTGGAGTTGCTAAGTGGCCAGAATGTAACCTTGAGGAACTGGCAACTTTGTCCTCCCCCTCTCTCAGTGAGGAAAGAACATGACTGCAGTGTGAACCCAGCATAGAGAAGCAGCTATATGAGATGGTAGCTCCAATCATGTCTGAAACCAGGACCACCTCTAGACTTCCCTATTACGTAAGCTAATAAATTCCCCTTTTTGCTTAAACTAGCTGTTAATACATTTCTGCCACACTGAAATGACAGTACACTAACTGCAGACCAAACTTCAAGGTCTGCAACAGTGGGAAACCAAGTTTGGCTGAGTGTGCCTGGGTCTGTGCTATATTCAATCATCTCTTTTTGGTGTTTTTTTTTTTTTTTTTCTTTGTTTAGGCAGAGTCTCATTCTGTCACCAGGCTGGAGTGCAGTGGCACAATCTCGGCTCACTACAACCTCTGTCTCCCAGGTTCAAGCGATTCCCCTGCCTCAGCCTCCTGAGTAGCTGGAACTACAAGCGTGTACCACTATGCCCAAGCAATTTTTTGTATTTTTTAGCAGAGACGGGGTTTCACCATGTTGGCCAGGATGGTCTCGATGTCCTGACTTTGTGATCTGCCTGCCTCGGCCTCCCAAAGTGCTAGGATTACAGGCATGAGCCACCATGCCCAGCCCCAATCTCTTAATTTTTGTATACACACACATGAAAGTGAGATGCCCTAGGTAAAGAAACAGTGGGCTGTGGCTTGTGCCTGTAATCCCAGCTACTCCAAGTCTAAGGCTGGAGGATCACTTAAGCCCAGGAGTTTGAGGCTACAGTGAGCTGTGATTGGGCCACTGCACTCCAACCTGGGTGACAGAATGAGACCCCTTTTTTTTTTTTTAAGGAGCCAGGCACCACGGTGGCTCACACCTGTAATCCCAGCACTTTGGGAGGCGGAGGCAGGTGGATTACCCAAGATCAGGAGTTCAAGACCAGCCTGGCTAACATCATGAAACCTTGTCTCAAAAAAAAAAAAAAAAAGAGTAGGTATTAAGATACTTGCCTGGGCCGGGCGCGGTGGCTCACGCCTGTAATCCCAGCACTTTGGGAGGCCGAGGCGGGTGGATCACGCGGTCAAGAGATCGAGACCATCCTGGTCAACATGGTGAAACCTCGTCTCTACTAAAAATACAAAAAATTAGCTGGGCATGGTGGTGTGTGCCTGTAATCCCAGCTACTCAGGAGGCTGAGGCAGGAGAAATGTGTGAACCCAGGAGGCGGAGGTTGCGGTGAGCCGAGATCACGCCATTGCACTCCAGCCTGGGTAACAAGAGCGAAACTCCGTCTTAAAAAAAAAAAAAAAGATACTTGCCTGAACTTATATGGCCCATATAAATATGGAGCTAGAATTTGAATTCAAGTCTGTTTTGCCTCAGGGTCACTCAGGTCTGCTCAGAACCTACCTGAACTAATATAGTGGGCACTTATATAGTGGCCACTAATGTAGAATCATCTAGCTGTTTAAAACGGTGCCATGGGCTAAGCACAAGAAGTTTCTTCTAAGAATGAAATCTTGGTGATTTAATCCCAGTCACCTGGATGGAGGATGTCTTATCTCTCCTGCAGGTCACTCTCCTTTAGGAATTTGGAGAGCCTCCCCACTCAAGTTTCCCAGATTAAAGAGCCTCAATTCCCTTAGCCATTCACCCAAGGTCCTGATTTTCCCCCACTTCTCTCTCAGTATCTCAAACTGCACACTTGGCCCTGGGGCTCAGCAAAACAGGCACATGCTGTTAGGGCTTTTCAAAGTAAGTTTAATACTCAATTCACATCAGCCGAGCGTAGTAGCTCATGCTTGTAATCCCAGCATTTTGAGATGGCAAGGCGAGCGGATCACTTTTGAGGTCAGGAGTTTGAGACCAACCTGGCCAACATGGTGAAACCCCATCTCTACCAAAAATACAAAAATTAGCAGGGCATGGTGGCACACCCCTGTAATCCCAGCTACTCGGGGTTGAGGCAGGAGAAACGCTTGGACCCCTGAGGTGGAGGTTGCAGTGAGCCGAGATCGCACCACTACACATGAGCCTAGGCGACAGAGTGAGATTCCGTCTCAAAAGAAAAATGCAATTTATATCTAGAAAATACTAATATTCCCTGAAAAGGGGAAGTAATTTGGATTGTTCAATCCCCTAGGGAGTGATGGCTTCTGACAAATATTTTTCAAAGAACTGAAACAAAAAGTATCTTCTGCATCAAGCTTCCACTGAGCCCTGGAGTGAGCAAGCACTTTAGATAACAAAAGTGAACTTCGGGATAATGTGGCTAGGGCCCTTCTGAAGCTGGGAACATGATCTAAGGACATCTACCTTTCTTATTATAGCCTCATTCAGGAAACAGCTTTTAAATGCATCAGCCTCTGGTTGTGAATACCTGTTGTCTCTTTGGGCTGCCTGTGTATTGCCTGACTACCTCTCTATACCCTTGCTTTTTTTGTTTTTTGTTTTGTTTTGTTTTGTTTGAGATGGAGTCTCACTCTGTCACCCTGGATAAAAGAGATCACCACTGCACTCCAGCCTGGCCCACAGAGCGAGACTCCATCTCAAAAATAAATAAAGGTAGTGGTAGTGATTGGTGGGGAGGGGGTATGCCATCCTCTAGACCGGTGGTCAGGGAAGTCCTCCTCCTTTCCACTGTTTGTTTTTTTTTTTTGAGACAGAGTCTCGCTCTGCCACCAGGCTGGAGTGCAGTAGTGCAGTCTCAGCTCACTACAACCTCTGCCTCCTGAGTTCAAGCAATTCTCCTGCCTCAACCTCCTGAGTAGCTGGGACTAAAGTACACACCACCACACCCAGCTAATTTTTGTATTTTTAGTAGAGATGGGATTTCACCATGTTGGCCAGGATGGTCTCAATCTCTTGACCTTGTGATCCATGGGCCTTAGCCTCCCAAAGTGCTGGGATTACAGGCGTGAGCCACTACGCCCGGCCCCTTTCTGC